GTGTGTGGGCAGTGGAGTCTCAGGACCCCTATAAAAGGATCCACTGGTCCCGCCCATGAACAGAGATTGTCAGCTCAGTACTTGATCTTTCCACTTGTCTATCCCATAAGGACAGTGCTGAAGAGGAAGTGGGGAAGAGATGGAAAGGGATCCAGAGTCCCTGTCCTGGGGAAGGGCAGCACCCTGAGCCATGCTGAGCTGACGTGTGCTGAGACTTTGTTTGAGTTCATCAAACAGGTCTCTTTACATTTAGTGAAATATGGAAGAAAACACATACTACCATTCTCCACAAATTCTCATCCTCTACAAGCATCTTTTCCTTTGTAGTCATACAACGTGGGGACAATGAGGATGCCAATGTTCATAACGGCGGAGGGATTTTCCTAGGGTCACACAGCAAGCACCGCCATCTGGGTGCCACCTACTGCCTTAGCACACTACCACCTCACTGCTGCTGGCGGGGCAGTGCAGGCTGCCCTGTTGCTGTTGAGGTCTTGTGCTTCTTTATTGACTGCCTTAGAATTGTTCCCTAGTAGTTTCTCAGGATCAAGCCTTTATAGTTACCTTTTTATTTTTTGCAGTCTATGGGTTGAACCCAGGGCTTCACACATGTTAAGCAAGTGCTGTGTCATTCAGCTATGCCCCTAGCCTCTAAAAAGATTTTATTTTGAAGTAAAGACTCACTGTGTTGCCCAGGCTGGTCTTGGGCTTGTAATCCGCCTGTCTCAGCCTCCCCTGGTAGCTCGCACCACAGGTGTATGCAGCTGTGCTCAGCTTTATCTATTTTTTGAGATAGTCTTGTCTTCTTACAGGATTTCCCAAGCCTGTAATAAAAGCACAGAGTGTAAGGATGAGCATGAGTTAAGAAATTATGCAGTAGACTTTGTGGAAATGGGAAGGAGATCTGGAGCTAGAGGAGATAGGAGCGGGAAGGGAGAGAGAAGTAAAGGTAACTAAGATTTCATATGTATATGTACCAGTTCTCTAGGATGAATGTAATTCTATGTATCACAAACATATACTGATAAAAGATTTCCAGTGTAGAGGATTTCAAAGATGCCTTAGGAGCAAAACGCTGTCTTCCAAAAGGCATTTAAAAAATCTGTGTATCTATATATGTGCATACATAAAATATATGCATATATAATATATAAAATTATATAGTCTATATAATTATTATATAAACTATACATATAATTAGTTGTGTCTATGATGTATGTGTGAGAGTCTGCCTTTCTATCTGTGTGTACCATTTCTCTTAACCTTAACTGTTTTACATATATCTATGCGTGAATGATACTGAGCTGAACTTGAGAAGATTTTGTTTGGAGAATTACCCTACAAGGCCACACCCTTCTGCAGCACTGGAGATTTGACTGAGGTGTGAGCAGCATGGGCTTCTCTGGTTGAAAGGCATGAGGTGCGGAAACCAAAAGGAATGGAGACTTGGTCCTCTTTGTCCTCTAAGTTCCTGGCCTGAGCCTGGCTGCAGGCAGTGCTTTTTATTAAGAAACAGGAGATCAGAAACAGGAGGCTCCTGGGTAGGTGGTGGTCTTTCTGAGGGCCCTTGGTAAAAACAGCCTTTGCGTAAATGTCTTCCTGCTCCAGTCTTTGGGTTGCTTTCCTGGACGACTTCTTAGCTTTTTCCTTTTTGGTTTCCCCCGGAGCCCCTCATGCAGGCAGGGTGGTGAGGTCTGCTTTGCTGGATGATGTCAGCCCAGGTGGGGAGAATGTGAGGCCATGGCTTGGTCTAAGCAGCATGCTCGGCCTGGCACCTGGAGTCTGGTGTCCCCTGGGTCCATCCCCTGGGACAGCTCTCTGCTCTGGAAATGAAGTTGTGCCCTGTCAAAGCCAAGAGTGGTCACCTTGCTGAGGAGGAAGGGTTCTTTTAGCATGGAGCTTGGGAAACCCTTGAGATGAGAAACACATTTGGGGCAAAAAAGAGAAAGTCCATGTCATAAAAACAGAGGCAGCGCCAACAAAATGCCTGACAGTTGGGCTGTGCCATGTAAGTCATGCAGTCGCTTACAAGCTAAGTGCATGGGTCTCTTCTTTGTGCCTTTTCTCAGCTCCTTACATCTCCTGAGTATATCCAACCGAGATCACTCATTTAGAGCCTGCTGGCTCCCGGAGAATGAGTCCTCTAAGGACAAGAGTGGCCTGTTCCTGAAGGACAATGTCTCCAGGGCCTTCCTGAGATTGGCAATCAGTAGAGGAAAGATAGTGCTGAAGGATTAGTCTCTGAAACAGGTAGTGTACCCAGTGATTTTCGAAGGGGAAGATGTGACTTCAGTTTTACAGGTGAGGGAATGAGATGCGAAGAGGAGTTAAGGGGTCATTCAAGGAGCTCTGGGAGACAGGAGAATTTCTGATGTTGAGAACACTTAGGAACCTGATGATTTGGGAAGCCTTGCCCAGCTTCCCAGGGCTCTGCCGGCTGCCAGGCTCTGAACCCAGAGGAGGTCTCATTAGCATTCAGAGGGGGAAGTAACCATGGGGGACACATTCAGAGCGTTAGGAGAAGACAGGCTGTGTTTTAATTATGACCTGGACTTTTGAACAAATCCTTTTCTCTGCTTGTCTGAGCCTTAGAGAAAACAACTTGTGGGAGGTGTGCAGTCGGCAGCTGGGTCCACAGTGGTACCAGTACAGCTGTGTACACATCTGGCACCCAGGTGGTGGGCTGCATGTGCATTTTCTCCTTGAATTGCTCTGAGTTTAGACAGGGTTACAGAGGAGAGGGTGACCTGGTTTGGCCCCAGATTGGGAGAGCAGATAGAGAGGATGGAGAGGGGCAGGATTGTCCCTCCTTGAGCCTCTGATCCCCAGGGATCATGGCCACTTCAGGATCTGAGGCCAAACAACTTCTGCCACTTCCTCCAGCCACTCCTGAGTCAACATGGTAGGCTTTCATTGTAGATTCACTCCAAACCTCCCTTTCCAATCTGGGGAAATTTTTGGAGTAGGGAATGAAATGAAAAGGGGAAGAGAAAGAGGAGATTAAGGGGGTAGAAGTCAGACAAGCACAGATGCTACCACCTGCTGCTGCAGATTCTCAAGTGCTTGTTGACTTCCTGGGAGTTTGCCTTGAGTCTGTTTAACAGTCCATTTCTGGGGAAGGGGAGGAGAAGCAGGGCTGGGGACAAAGGGCCTTTGACTGGCTCCTGGAAAAGTGGTCATTCGTTTGCTCAGGTTGTCAAACAGTGACTGGGAACTTGGGGTCCGGAGATGAGCTGGGTTGTGTATGGTGTTCAGCAAGGGAGAAGGGAGTAGAGAGTAGAGACAAATATTTTGGGCACTGGTGTGAGGTTTCAAGGTGGACTGAAAAACTCCACTGGGCAGCTGCAGGAAGGGAGAGAACAAAAGGGCTTTAGCACCTGGAGTTTTGGTTTAGGGTTCTAGCATACTTTGTTAGTGGAGAAAGAGCCATACCAGCTCTTTGGACTATTCTCAACTTTAGCCCCCTTTCTGAGGGTGAGAGGCAGGTCTCCCAACATAGGTGTTTCTGGTGTGCTCCCCATGGCCAAGGGCAGGAAAGATGGGTGTCGCGGCTCAAGGCTTGTTTTAAAAGTAAGACAGTGCATGAACTTCCTATCCTGCAGCTTGACCCCAGTCCCAGGAGACTGTTTCCGAGGGCCTCGCGCAGGTGACCTTATTCCCTTCTCCAAGCATTGGCTTCCATTGCTCAAAATGTTTGAATGACTTCCCTTTTTCTTGTGCCAATCTGAGTGTCATGCTTCCTTGAGAATTTCTCCTTTGCTTTCTTCTTATTCCACCCCAATAACTCTTCCCTTCTTCCAGGAAACTTCCAAGATAATCATGCTGCGTGCAAATATTGGCTTAAAGCCATAAACTGGTTCAATTTTTATGGTTGGGAAATCATTGAATATTATAATTTCTTATACATGCCATAGCTTTATGTCATTTTATTTTGTATTCATGAGACAGTGCTTTGTATCCTTCTTACATTTTACTTCCTAAAGACAGACCCCTAAGGCTAGATATTATTTAGCTATCCATTTATTTATTTTTTGGTTTACTCTTTCTTCCAATAGATGCCTGAGCTCCATGGGTGGAGGTTTGTCTTGCATCTGCCTAAGCCTACAGTAATGCCTGCCACACAACAGACATTGTGTATGCACTTGTCTGAGTAGTGAGTGCTGTTGGGGTACTGTTTTCTTTTCCTCCCTTCCCTATTAAAACACATAGTTTAAGGTATGCTGCAGGGTGCATGGCAGATACTTATGAGAAAATGAAAGAATGAAAAAGCAGAAGAAGAAATGACTGAGTGAATGTGTGAATAAGCTTTTGAGATGTGACGGGCATGAAGCATGGGCATGGGCCTCTCTGAAGGAAAATACTTTCCAACTGTTCATCTTTCCTGAATTCCTCCTGAGGTGGATGGAGCTTATTAGCAGAGCAAGCTGGTATCAGCTCCCGTAGATACTTTGAGTCAGCTCCTGTCTGTCTTTGTGAAGAAGGGAGTGGTGTGGACTTTTCTGTGCTCACTCTGGACATTCTGTCCCTCCTTGCCATTCTCTCTGACACCATCTGGTCTTTCCAATCTATCACCTCGTATGTGGGGACAAACAGAATGTTTTCAGTAGAGTCTCTGTTTCCCCATTGTGCCACTACTTTAGAAACCAAAACAACTATTTTGGTAGTGATAAAATGAATGCTATGAATGAATGCCAGAGACATTTTTAGGATACATTACTTTAGCACTGATGCTGCATGCAGTTTGGTATCATCAGAGAAGAAAACAAAGACTTAAAAAAAAACCTTCAGGTCTCCCTTAGGCCATTCTGGATTGTTGTTGATCTGGAGTGACCAGGCGAATGTGAATTGCCTGAGTGTCAAGTATATTCCAGTCCAAGCTTCCTTGAACCAGGTCTTTGAAATCCTTTTACTGCTGACCCCAGGGGAGACCTGGGTACAAGCCAGACCTTCCTCACAGTGTCTGTCCTCCCTCTCTCTCTCTCTCTTTCTTCTGCTGCCAGGCTGTTTGCTGTCAAATGTGGGGGCTGCTTTGAGGCCATCGCACCCAATGAGTTTGTTATGCGGGCCCAGAAGAGCGTGTACCACCTGAGCTGCTTCTGCTGTTGTGTCTGTGAGCGGCAGCTTCAGAAGGGTGACGAGTTTGTCCTGAAGGAGGGGCAGCTGCTCTGCAAAGGGGACTATGAGAAGGAGCGGGAGCTGCTTAGCCTGGTGAGCCCAGCAGCCTCAGACTCAGGTGAGTGTCCTGCAGTGGGCAGGGGCAGCAGGGGGATGATAGCACAGAGTGAGCTGGCCATCTATATTGCCTCCTTCCTAGAGAACCAGCTGTCTGGGCAATCTATCTCCGTGGCAAGGTAGTTCTGTGTATTTCAGTAACTTTCTTTCTAACCTCTGAGTTATCTTCTATCAATCAGCTTATTGCCATGATGATGCTGTGTAACAAATTTCCCCTAAATTCAATGGCATAAACCATAAACACTTATCACACATAGATTGTCTCCAGGTTAAGTGGAATGACTGCTCCAGGCTGAAGTTCTTCAAGTTAGCTAGGATCTGCTGAACTCAGGCTTAGACAAGTTCAATTCTGCTCTGTGTGATTTATTCTGTGGTCCAGGTTTGAAGAGCAGCACCTACTGAGCACGCTGTCTTGGGGGTGCTCAAAGTGCAAGAAGGCATGTGCAACCACACAAGCACCTTTCAAGCCTCTGCTCTCATTCTGTCTGCTTGTATCCCAGCAGCCAAAGCAGATTACAAGGTCAAACTTGAAGTCATGTGATGGAGAAACATATTGTGTGCAGCACAAAGTCTTGCTGGGATCACATACGTTACTATGCGTAATGTGCAGTATGTGATAGTATTAAAGGGAATGATGAATTGGAAGCAAGCTTTTAGTGACAATCACTCAACTTTTCTCAGTCTTTATTTCCTCATCTGTCAAGTGAGCCAGCTAGACTTTAAGGCTTGATGAGTCACATAAGGTAAGGAACCACCATATATATACTTCCTCTTCCTTACATACCCGTTCCCCACCTACACTGCCTACAGGGGAGCAGAGAGAGAGAGAGAGAGGGAGAGCGAGAGAGAATATAAAAAGTTGAATGGTTTTATAGAGCAGGTGTCATAGGACCAGAGAATTGAAACTGAAAATTTTCAGGTGAAATTGAAACTGTCTGTATTATGCACAAATGACTTTTCAGGATGTTTGTCCTCTTGGGGTAGTGTTCTCTTCCTTTAAGAACCTGTGAGGGGCTGGAGATTTAGCTCAGCGGCATAAACGCCTGCCTTGCAAGCAGGCAGTCGTGAGTTCGATCCCCGGTACCGATAAAAAAAACAAACAAACAAAAAAACAAAACAACAACAACAACAACAACAACAAAACAAGAACCTGTGAGTTTTAGCTGGTTATGATGATGCAGACTGTAATCCCAGCACTCTGGGAGGCTGAGTCCTGAGGATTGTAAATTGAAACCCAGCCTGTTCCACTCAACAATTTAGCAAGACCCTGTCTTAAAATGAAACTGTAAAAGACTGGGAGGTAGCTCAAAGGAAATGTCCTTGGTTCAAGTCTCAGTACCGGGGGGGGGGGGGAGAAGAACCCATGAGGTGATACAATACGTTAGTTCTTGCCATTCCAAGAGCAAGAGGGCAAGAGGCTTTGGTGCCACGGTGATCAGAATATCAGTGTGACCTTAGATTTGCACACCTGGAGGGACCTACATTATTCCCCCTCATGTGAAAATAAGCACAGTGGTCTCTGTGTTCTTCAGATGCAACTGTCTGGGGGCTTGATCCCTGTACTATCCACCTGATCATGCTTTTAAGGTTTATGAGATTTTATTTGAACTCAGACTGAGGCATTGCATTGTTGCTGCCACTTTCCTCGAATGACGAAAACCAGAAGCTGGATCTAAGCAAGCATCATAGTAGTATTATGATATTCAGAGCAAAGGCAGAGCAGCAGGTCTTGTCTGACCACATTGTCAGCAATATTTCAGCAGTTCAGTTCTGAGCGTCTCCTTTTTTGATATGGATGAATCACAGCTCTAGAGGCCATTCACTTTTGTATCATTCGGTAATCATATCTTGAGTGACTTTGTTATATGACGATTGCTTAAAGGTGGGGTGATCTCAAAACCATGTCTCATGGAGGAATTGTAGACGAATAGCCTAAAAAATTAAAGATTAAATGAAGGCAACATTGTAGCCTTCAAATGGTCCAATGAGCCCAATTTTCCTTTTTGATTTTAGAGAAACAATGAGAGTTTATTCATTAAATTATTTAATGAAATCATTTACTGTTTGCATTAAACAGATACAAGGAAGCAATTCTCAACTAGGCACAGGGAATATCAGCAGGCATATTGGAATATCACTCTAATGATTGAATCCAACAGAGGATAAATTACCAAGAAACATACCTTCCAAACATGTTGATATTGATGAGGGATGAGGGAAGGTGGTCCAAGGAGAACCCTATCTCTAGAAATGTATATTTGTCTTTGGAGTTTTCAAGTGATATTGTCAACCATTGATTTTATAATTGTTGCCTATCATAAAATGTTTTGTGTATCCAAGCTTGTCTCACTAATGAGGGGATAGACTTTTAGAAAACACAGCTGTAGCTTTCAATTCCTTTCTTTCTTTAACAAGATTTAGCATGATACAGGAGAGGATTAAGTGATCAGTAAATATCTCATGTGTTGAGTGAAATCTTCAAAAGAGACATCCACCCATATAAGGGCTTCGTAGGAAGCAGTTTTAGAATTTGTTCTGGAACAAATACAATTCTTCCTCTAGGTTTTGTCTTGAATGCCTTACATATTGTGGCTGCTTGATAAATATTTGTTGAGTGAATGACTGCCTGTCTTGTCATTTTTAACATTTTTATCAATAACTTGGATGAAGATACAATTCACAGATGACTCAAACCTGGCAGGGAATGCTGGTGTGACAGCTGATACTCTCAACATTCAGAATGATTTTGACAGGCTAACAGAAGAGCACAAAGTTGGTGAGATGAACTCTTCTCCTCTGGTCCTAAAATACCATTAAAATTGTATAAAATGTAGACTATTTTGATAGAATTCTATGTGAAATTATACTTGATGATAAAGCCAATAGGAGCTAAAAAGACTTAAGATGCATAAGTAGAATGATATTGTCCCTAACATAATTATAGTTTTTTTGCATTGGTCAGAGCACACTTAGAATATAGGCACTAATTTCAAATGATGTCTTTTAGGAGATCAGTGACTAGGAAGAGTTTTGTAGAGAGTAATTAACTAGCTTGTTAAATAAATGATAAATAGCTGGAGAAATGTTATATTTAACTTTGTAAAAGTAAATCTAATGAGAGTCATCCCCAAGGTGGCAGACCTGGTACTGAGTGTGAAATGACAGATTTAGGTTCATTATATAGTGGAACCATGTCTGACATTGATGTCCGCTGAGCTGGCTTTATGGGAAGGGAACTTGTCTGTCCTTCAACATTTTAGTTACGGTTGGTGGAAAATTCCATTAATGACCACTAGACCTTCTGCAGTGTAGGATACTAAAATCTCCAATTTTATGGTGCCAGCTGATCTAGGCATGTGACAGGCTCACAGCTACACAGGACACTAAAGTCAGGATGTCTTCAGCTGGTGGATGATCTTTATCCATGGGGCCCGTCTCTTCTGTCCTGGTTTTTGTCTTGCCAGTGGCCTTGAAGTAGCCTCCCAAGCAAATGATAGGATCTGTAGCCAGAGACAGACAATTTTCTTTGTTTTATTGAGAATTTTGATTGCCCAGGGTCTCTAGAAGAGATATCATGACATTCAGACCTGAGATTTCTTTCACCAGAGAGCTGAAGATTCTCACAGTGGATAAGTGATTGCAAAGTGACCCACTTCAGACTTCAGCAGATGTTCTCCAGCCTCTGCTTGAGCATCTCAGTCATTGGGGATTCCAAGGAGACAAAAGAGGACAAAGCTATGCACTTTTTCTTCTCTCTACCTTCTACTGAATGCTGACTCCAAATGTGGTGGATTTTCCACATATGCCAAGCAATTCTCCATCAGACATCAAATGGGCCATTAACTCAGTTCTATCCTGACCTGTCTACCTAGAGATAATGTCAGATCACACAGGTTGAGGGCTCACATGTCACAAGACTGCCCCTCCCATGTGTAGATGCCAGCCTCAAATTAAAGGTTGTCACCTACATTCCTGGTCAGCTGGCTATAAATTGTGGGTTTCACGCTCTCCTACTCAGGTCAATTAATTTGTTAGATCAGTTCACAGAACTCAGAAAAATGTTTTACTTATGTTACCCACTTATTACAAAGATATTTTGAAGGATATAGATGAACAACCCAATGAAGAAATGCACAGGGCAGGGTATGTGGGGAGTATCTGTGCCCACTCTAGGATTTCACCTCCTGGAAGCCTTCCTGTGTTCAGCTGTCTGGAATCTACCTAACCTTGTCCTTCTGGATGCTTCTTTACAGTGATTATGTCATTGGCCATTAGCACTTGACTCAACCTTTATCCCTTCTCCCTTCCCAAGGCTTCCCACTTGTATCCTGCACTGGGCTTTCCAGTGAGCAGTGCTGGTCTTCAGCTGGATAGTGGCCCCCTGCCACCAATCCTCTCTTTAGAGTACAAAAGATACTGTTATCCTTCCGGAGACTCAAACATTTTAGGAGCTACTTGTCAGGAAACGGGACAAAGGCCACCTCTATTTTTAATAATATCACAGGAGTGCTTGACTCCACATTCTGCAGTCTTGATCCATGTGTCACCTTTGACCTTGGCCTCAGCTTCTCTATTTTCAGAATCTCAAAAAGTAAGCCACAGTCTGCTCCCCTCCATGTGGCAGCCCTTCATGCTGAAGATAGAGCTCCTCCCTGATACCTGTGAGATTCTTTAAAGTCTTGCTTTCTAGTTTTGCCTATTCTTCCAGCGAGCCCTTATAAGAGGCTTATTGCTCTATTTGTGAGAATACTGCCAATAAAATGTATCACTGAGAAGAGCCTACACTCTTCCTTATGACATCTGACTAGTACAGTGTCATTGCTGCTGCTTTCTATGGTTGTTATGAATCCATGATTTCATTAGCTTTTTTGAAGTTGGAGTGAGGCCAGGACCTGGTGGTTATGGACAGTCATGGCTCCTGGCTGTCCATGCTGCTTTTTATCTACCCTTCTTGTCTTCGTGTTTTCTCTTAAAATTAGAAGTCACCTGACATTGTCTTGT